AGCTCCTGCAACGTGGACCTCACAGCGTGACTGCTGGATCCACACAACCATCTCAAGAGCTCATGTTAGGGGCTGAGACTCTTACATAGAAAGGATGCATGAAGGGGAGGGTGTAGCTCAGTGGTTAAGAGCACATGCTTAGCATGCCTGAGGTCCTGGGTTCCATCCCCAGCACCTCCATAAAAATAACTAAATAAATAAACCTAATTACCCACCCGTGCAAAAAAAAAAAAAAACCTCTACAAACAAAATAAATAAACTATTAAAAAAAAATAATGCATGATAGTTGGAAAACCCTGGGCCATTGATAGTCCAACCCTTTTCCTTCTGATTTCCCTGGGAAATCCTCTAGCTTCTCCCCAGGTTGTCAAGTCCCTGGCGAGTTCCGGTTTGTCTCCTCTGAATGTGTTCCCCGAAGTGTTTGGCCTGGGCTTTGTGCTCATGGGGGAGCAGTGAGAGGTACAAGCTTGACAACAGGTCAAGGTGAGAATCCTTTTATTTGCTGAAAAAATAAAATCAACAAACTGCATATCAGTGGGTTGGCAGAACATTTGCAAAGATGAATCTAGAAGTTAATAATGTAAAAATCTTTGTAAAGAGACAGATGTGTTACGTAGCAAACCAAGCAATGACATAACGAGGGGTCTAACAGTCTTGTTCACTTTTTAAAATCTGGGGTTTTATGTTTTTAATGTAACTTTCATTTTCAACTTATCACCTTTTTGTGCCCTTTTTTTTAAGGTAGTCAGTTTACAATCTGTCAATTTCTGGTACACAGCATAATGTTTCAGTAATACATACCCATACATATGTTCCTTTTTATATTCTTTTTCATTATAGGTTACTACAAGATAATGAATATAGCTCCCTGTGCTGTACAGTAGGACCTTTTTTTTTTTAGTAGGACCTTTTTTTTAATCTATTTTATATACAGTAGTTAGTATCTACAAATCTCAAATTCCCAATTTATCCCTTCCCACCCCATTTCCCCTGTGGTAACCGTAAGTTTGTTTCCTATGTCTGTGAGTATGTTTCTGTTTTGTAAATAAGTTCATTTGTGTCTTTTTTTTTTTAGATTCCACATATAAGTGATATTATGTTATTTTTCTTTCTCTTTTGGGCTTACTTCACTTAATATAACATTCTCCAGGTCCATCCCTATTGCTGCAAATGGCATTATTTCATTCATTTTTATGGCTGAGTAGTATTCTACTGTATAAATACACCACATCTTCTTTATCCAGCCATCTGTCAATGGACATTTAGGTTGTTTCCATGTCTCAGCTACTGTAAATAGTGCTGCTGTGAACATTGGGGTGCATGTGTCTTTTCAAATTAGAGTTTTCTCCAGGATATATGCCCAGGAGTGGGATTGCTGGATCATAGGGTAAGTCTATTTTTAGTTTTTTAAGGAATCTCTATACTGCTTTCCATAGTGGCTGCACCAAACTACATTCCCACCAACAGTGCAGGAGAGTTTGTGCCCATTTTTAAAGAACTTCATTAATAACACATTTTTCACTTCCCTGTGGACTTTTATTGAATGACAGATATTTTAAGAGGGGGAAGAGAAGGGGATTTGCCCCTTTTTAGCAGACATGTAAAACATGAGCTCTTTAGACAGCCAAACCTGTTTCTTTCAATGTTTCCCCGTTTCATCCTCATCAATAGCATTTTTTATTATCTTGACTGTGTTTCGTCCTTGGGTTCTCAATCCTTTTCGGGGCAGCTTATTTTGTTGCTGCCTCTGGCCCCGTGTCCTTCTGAACTTTCTAAAAGCTGCTTTCTTAAAATCTGGGGTCGCTGCTTCTCCAAGCCCTGCATCCCCGCCCTCCTTCCGCAGTCCCATGCTTTGTTACCTGAAATTCTTTCTTGTCGGCTGGAGTGAAGCACGACGTGGTGGGCCTGGTCCTTGCCTCGCTGCCTTTGTGGTGATCGGATGCTCAGCAGGGCAGGACGAACCATCTGCCTCCAGAGCAGTGGGGCTTCCACACAGCCATTTGGGCAGTTGAAAAATCCCCCAGTTTTGTGATATTCCATCTCCGTGCCAGTTTTGAAATCTGCAACAAGAAAGCATCTTAAATAGCTCGCCTCTGGTCAGGCAGTTGTCCTGTGTAGTCCCGTGTGAGTGTCGCTTCCGTTTCCCTTCCCAGATGCTTTTTCTGTGCACCTCGGTCACCGTACAGGTGTGGACCTTCTCGTTACAGGGAGTCACCCCTCCTCCACCTCTCCTGTGTCTCTCCTCTTTCACCGTTCCAGTCCTGAATTCCATCTGCCAAAACTCTTGTAAGACTAGTGCTTCTTGACTATCAGAAATAGAAACATGAATATTAATGACTCATGTCCTGAAATCCAGATCATGCTGAAAAGCCAGCCCGTCAGGGCTTCACCTGGTCGTGATCTAGGAAGTGGGTCTGAATCAGCAAGGTACACGCCAGGGAGTCTCTCAGACCTGACCAGGGGACAAAGTATGTGTGTGTGTGTGTGCACGCATATGTGTGTCTGTGTGTTTTACTCTAACAGAAATCCTGGGTTTTAGAACATCATCGCTACCAACTCATGGTTATTATTTTTCTTTTTCTTTTTTTGGTGTATTAAGCCAAGTACATCTAGTAAAAATCCGAACTAGATGTGGGGGTGTGGCCCCCTGGGAGAGCCAGGTCACCAGCAGCGTCGGGGAGGGTGTTTAGTGAACCAAGCTGGGGTGTTGGCAAAAGAGCTTTTGGAAGAGGAGGGTAGTCAGTGTGGTAGTTCCCTAGATAACATAATGAATTTTACTAGGTTGGTTTGTTTTTTTTTTTGAAACCAGTGAGGTTCTTAAGCCTTATTAACATGACAGGAATTAGGCCCATAGTTTCTTTCAGGAGGGAAAAAAAATTGGAAGACACACTAAACCAGCAGGTTACTGTATTTATCGTGTGTGTGGCAGTCCCTGCTCTCCGTTGAAAGACACTCAGGAATAAAGATGCTGTCAGTCACTGTGTGAGGAGCTGCTTCAGAAAGGTTGCATAGAAGGAGAGTCAGAAATCCGGATGCCCAGCTGAACAGTGGACATATGAAGGTACACAGGAAACGTGAGAATTACAGCTGCTCCACGTTGTTTGTAATGGCCAAGGATTTGAAGCCGTGTCCACTGGTCCATCGGCAGGGGGCTGGTTAGTAAGCGCCGGCCCACCCACACGCTGGGGTCTGTGCAGCTGTTAGACAGACAGAGGGTGAGGACGAGCTCCATACACTGGATGGCGTGACGACCACATGTGTGACACGAGGCAGGTCTGCAGGGTGCTGCTTCTGTGCGAGAAACGGAGCACTGGACACAGAGACACATCTGCTTGGATTTTCAAGGAGAAACCAGGCTATGAGAGAAATTAAGAACTAATAAAAATGTATAAGGGGAGGGAGGGATGAGGGCAGAGGAGACCAGGAAGAAAGTCAGACTTACCTGAACACACCCTGGTATGTAGTTTGACTTTGGATTCGTGAGACAAAGTACATCCAAGAAAGCAAAAACATTTCCCACCCCAACACACCTACACAATGAAAAAAAAAAAGAAGGAAACACATGAACTGAATTGTACTTTGTTAGTGACAGAACTACGTGAAAAAAAAATTGTTCTGACTGTAGAACACTATTTTTACTGTACATTCTCAATGAGATATACACCAAGGACAAAAAAAAAAAACGAGTCGCAGAGTTTAAGTGTATTTAGCAGTCTTACTATTAGTTATGTGAATGTGGTTAGGAACGATTTTCTGTCTGAGAAAAGAAATAAGCGTAATTTTTTAAAATTATGTAAAAATCTTGCATACTTAAGTTTGAAGTACTACCAAGATCTTATTCTTCCCTTTAAAAAAAAAATATATCTATGTACCCAAGATCTGTTCAATAAAAAGACCTAAAAATCCATGAAAACTCAGTAACAGTGAGCACCCCCAGCCCCCAGATTGTGGCCTTTAAACACCATCCCCACTTGAAACATCCAGAGGCCCTTGGGGAAATGCCCCGTCCCAGATCTGGGATGAGAAATGTGCTGGCGAGTCTAGAATGTCGTGTGTCAGGAAGCAAGGGACGTATCAGAGGCCAGCCGGTGATTTCAAAAGGACATAGGAACCGGCCTGAAGGGTTCCCACTGGCCAGAGATGGAATAATTAACTGCAGGTGAATATGTAAAAAACCCATGAGTTGTAATGTCAAACAGGTAAAAGTCTGTCACCCCACTCTGCACTGAGACTACTTCGATTTACAGTGGGGAGCGTTCGCTGATGACGTCAGTTCTGGTGAAGAGTCACAGATGCAGAGTTAGGCTCTAGGGCTTTCCCCTCCCCTCCCCTCTACAGTAGGCCTCGGGATCTGCCCTCAGACCGACTCTTGCCGGGACAGGAAACACATTACTTTGCACTCTTCATCCCCAGTGGCCAACACCACGTCCTCAGCAGAGCTGAAATCCGCCTCTGAGGTTCCAGAGACCTGGGTTCTGGTCCAGCTCTTCCTCCTGCTCCGTCCACAGCCTCAGTCTCTGAACCTTCTGAGCCTCAGTTGCCTCATCTCTAAAATAAAACAACAATCACACGTGCCCTGACTGCCCTTCAGAAGCACGAGGAACGGTCGCCCCTCTCTAAGATCCTCCCGCCTTGCTGATGCCGTGAATTGTCAGTGTTCCCCCCATTGCTACATCCCTTTTTATTTTTGAATTTTTTAAAAATTCTACCATGTGTTTATTTATTTTTAACATTTTTAGGGGGGGATGTGATTTTCTTTTTAAAATTCATTTATTATTTTTAATGGAGGTGCTGGGGATTGAACCCAGGACCTTGTGCGCTAAGCGCGCGCTCTGCCCCTGAGCCACACACCCGCCCCACTGTACGGTCTTCAGCAGGCACTTCATGGGTTCCCGGTGGAGAGGGGAATCGTTTTCACTACGCCGAGGAGAATGAGTATCGCCGGTCCTTTCCACAGACCAGACGGGCAGTAACAGCCTGCGTCTTCTCGTTCCTTTCAGCCATGGAATTCCACGAGCACCTGCACAGCATAGGCACCAAGGAGGGGCTGAAGGAGCGCAAGCTGCAGAAGGCCGTGGAGAGCTTTACCTGGAACATCACCATCCTCAAGGTACGGTGCGCCAGCGCTGTTTGTTTCCAGCAGGTTTCGTCCCGTCGGCGGGACAGTTCCCGAGTGGCGCGTTACCAGCCGCTCAAGGGCGTGGTCACCGAGGTCCCGGGAGAGGTCTGCCCTCTGCAGGGGTCGGGGTGGGGGGCGTCTGCGGGCACGGTAGCTGGGCAGTGCGGCTCACGGCGGGGGGGACCTGGGGACTGGAGCGGTCCGCACGCTGTGGATTCTGCCGAGAAGGGAGAGGACCTTGCCTTCCCTCCCCAAAGCCCTGTCGGGTTCGTCAGGGCAGCGGCCTTGTGTGAAACCGAGAACGCTGACTACAGAGGGATGCCTGGGAATTTGAACATGCTGGTCACTCAGATTTCATGCAGCACTTTAAAGTATAATCGCAGCCTAATGTCGCTGTGATCCCAGGGGAAAAAAAGGAAAGAATTGCGGGGGGCATATTCAGGAGAAATGGATAAAGGAATTGCCATTTGAAAGGAATTTTCCTTCAAGGGGAAAACCATCTGCATCTGCTTGTTCGCTTCTTTCCTTCTTTTCCTTTCAGTCTGTCTGTCCTTCCCTCCTTTCCTTTTGCCTTTCTGTCTCAGAATGACCATTTTAAAAGAATTGAGTTTTATTACTTTCATTATAAAAGTAATGTATTTTCGTTGTAGAAAATGTCAGAACAGCACAACCAGAGGTAAACGTGGCCCTACCGTCCAGCGGTCTTTTGCTCTGCAGTCTCCCGGCTTTTCTCTGTGTGGTTATATAACATGACGTGATTTGTAAAACAACATTGTGTCTGTGCCTCAGAACTTTTGTGAGTTTTGTCTCAGTGGTCTTTACTTTTCTTTGTCAGTGTTTGGGACCTTGAATAATAATAACACAGAAGCATTATTTCACTCTAGACCTTGGACAGCTAAATGTAAAATGACTCTCTGGTCCACCCTCCAAACTTTCTGCTCGGTTGAATTCAAAACTGTGAGGACGTTACCACAGCTGCCTCTTTGAGTTTCTCTGTTCCCCTTCAAGGCAAAAGATCCATGCTGCAGCTGACAGCAGTTTTCTGGTTTAATTAAATAAAAAGTCACCCTTCCAGAGCTGGCCAGCTTGCATTGCCTCGTGTTAAGCCCCTACTCAGTTTTATAATTAAAATCATTTTTAAAATTTTTTGGTGGGGGAGGCAATTAGGATTGATTGATTGTTTGATTGATTGGAGGCACTGGGGATTGAACACAGGACCTGGTGACTGTTTTTAAATCGCTAGATCTTCTGCTTAGTATGTAACTGATCATTTGCAGTTCAGTAAACAGCAGATGCAAAAACTGACAATGAGGAGGAATTTGACTTTCCTACTTGCTGACTCCATGTCAACCAGAAGTGGGGGATACGCTACAAATTTCCTGCAACCCTAAGGAAAAAAAGAGCACAGCAATTTATGGCCCTGTGGTAGGAACGGATGCCCATTTAGCTTTTATTTTATTATGGGCAAAAACAGGCTGAGGGAGCACCCTTTCATCTGTCAGCCATCCATGCTGCTCGTTCTGGCCCAGGATCCAGCAGCCTGGGCGTCACCTGGGAGCTTGTTCAAAATGCAGACTCCCCCCACCACCACAAGGCCTGCTGAGTCAGAATCTGCGTTTTAATAAGATCCTGGGGGATTCTTATGCACATTAAAGTTTGAGAAGCCCTGGGCCAAGAGCCACCAGAAATGGGAGCCTGGCCCACATATTAATGAAAGACAGCTGACGTGAAGTAGAAATTTAGAAAGAACAAAACTAAACCAAACAGCTACACCGAGGAAATGAATTTTCTTTTGCATTATGTCGGGGAGAGAGAATTAACACCTCAGACTTATGTTCATATGGGAACAGACGCATCGAATAGGGTGACAGATCTTTGTCAGGCGCCTAGGACGGTGTTTGCTGCAGGCGATGCTGGAGTCTGGGGCAGCCCGGGCGACAAGCGGGGAAGAGCTGGAGAGAGGGGTATGTCTCTGCTGTTCGAGGGAAGGGCTTTTCTCACTGCTGCACATTTCACAGATTTAAACTTTCTAGGGAAGAATCCGCGCCCACGGAGTCCCGGTCAGGAACGCGGGTCAGAGTTGAGCTCCCCGCCTTTCCCGGCCAGAGGGGATGGAGTCCCGTGAGTCCCCATCGCCACTTGTCCTTTTCGCTGAGCTCGGAGAGGGTCGGCCCTCCAGGGCCCCGTGTGGTGTGCGGTGGGCAGCAGGTGCCTCGTGATGGCGGGGAGGCTTGGGGAAGGCTCCAGGTGATGCTGGATGTGGAGAGCAGACAGGAGGCTGTGCTGAGGGGGGCCTGAAGCTGAGGCCAGACACAGGGATTATCTGGGCGCTTAAAATGGGGCCTCCTGAGCCCCACCCCAGACCTTTGGGGTCAGACTCTTGGGGATGGACACAGGAATCTGCCTGTTAGGGATTCTGAGGGACCCTAAAGAAAACCAAGTACCACTGCCCTGGAATCGAATCAGAAGTACCTTTCCCTGTGCATCACCCCACTCATTTGAACAACGAAGGAGGCGTGGGACATAGGATTTACTGTCAAAAGAGGGACTGTCCAGGCAGATGGGTGACCCGTTGTCACTCGCAGAGCAGGCAGCCCGCCAGAAACCCCTTTCGTCCAAGCATATCCAGCCCAGTTTTAGTTTTTCCAGTTTTAAGAATTGCTGTAAAATGCAGAAATGAACCAAGGAGAAGTATCATCCTCGATCACCACACCCAGAACCACCCAGTTAATATTTTTGCATATTTACTTCGTTATTTTTTCTTTGAATAAAAACCATTTATTTTTGTAAATACATCTTCATTACAAAGAACTTTTTTTAGTGAAGTATAGTTAATTTGCAGTGTTGTGTTAGTTTCTGGTGTACGGCATAGTGATTCAGTTATACATGTATATATTCTTTTTCATATTCTACAGTAGGACCTTGTTGCTTATCTATTTTATGTATATACTAATTTGTAATTAATCCCAAACTCCTAATTTATATCTCCCCCCTCTCCTCCCCAACTGATAACCAGAAGTTTGTTCTCTGTGAGTCTGTTTCTGTTTTGTAAATAAGTTCATTTGTGTCATTTTTTGGACTCCACATATAAATGATATCATATGGTATTTTTGTTTCTTTCTCTGACTTACTTCATTTAGTATGATAATCTCTAGGTCCATCCATGTTGCTGCAAATGACATTATTTCACTCTTTTTGATGGCTGAGTAGTATTCCATTGCATGCATATACATATATATATACACACACACATACATACATATACGCCACAACTTTTTTATCCAGTCATCTGTTGATGGGCATTTAGGTTGGTTCCATGTCTTGGCTACTGTAAACAGTGTTGCTATGAACATTGAGGTGCGTGTGTCTTTTCAAGTTAGAGTTCCCTATGGATATTGATGGATCATATGGTAAATCTATTTGGAGCTTTTTAAGGAACCTCCATACTGTTCTCTATGGTGGCTGCACAAATTTGCATTCCCACCAGCAGTGTAGGAGGGGTCCCTTTTCTATACCCTCTCTAGCATTTATTATTTGTAGACTTTTGAATGATGGCCATTCTGACTGGTATGAGGTGATACCTCATTGTACATTTCTCTGCTAATGAGGGATATTAAACATTTTTTCATGTGCCTATTGGCCACCTGTATGTCTTCTTTGGAGAAATGTCTGGGTCTTCTGCCTGTTTTTGCTTGGGTTGCTTGTTTGTTATTAAGTTGTATGAGCTGTTCATATATTCTGGAAATTGTGCCTTTGTCAGTTGCATCATTTGCAAATATTTCTCCCATTTCATTGGGTGTGTTTTCATTTGTGTTTATGGTTTCCTTAGCTATACAAAAGCTTATGTTTAATTAGGTCTTACTTGTTTATTTTTGCTTTTATTTCTGTTGCCTTGGGAGACTGACCTAGGAAAAGTTTGCTACTATTTATATCAGAGAATGTTTTGCCTGTGTTCTCTTCTAGGAGGTGTATGGTGTCCTGTCTTATATTTAAGTCTTTAAGCCATTTTGAGTTTATTTTTGTGTGTGGTGTGAGGGAGTATTCTAACTTTATTTACATGCAGCTGCCCAGTTTTTCCAACACCACTTGCTGGAGAGACTGTCTTTTCTCCATTGTATTTTCTTGCCTCCTTTGTCAAAGATTAATTGACCATGCGTGTGTGGGTTTATTTCTGGGCTCTCTATTCTGTTCCATTGATCCATGTGTCTGTTTTTATGCCAATACCACACTGTTTTGCTGTAGCTCTGTAGTATTGTCTCAAGTCTGAGAGGGATTATGCCTCCAGCTTCGTTATGAAGAACTTTTTTTTTAATGTAGAAAAGGTAAGTTTTAAAATGACCTCTGATCCTCCCTCTGATAAAGAATTATTATATAAATGTATTAAATATTATTAAATTATCAAATTATTAAATATTATTAAAAAATTATTAAATGACTTTATTCCAGGAACCTTTTCATGTGCATGTGGGTGGATGGAAATACATTTTATTGATTCTGAGTCGTATTTTTCACATCTTTGATATTCATGTGTATCTTTTAATCCATGGCATCTATGCATCGTGTCCTACTTAAATTGGCAGTGATTTTCTTCCTTAGTGGTATATAAAATGGTATGTCTCACAGGCACTAGTGTCTTGTGAATGAGGTATACTAGTAGATAGAATGCTACTATAATGCTCTATTTAATTTTTTTTAAAGTACTAACTTTCACTTAACAGGAAAAAAGCAAACCATAAAGAGACTAAATTAATTGCTGACCAATTTTTATTTTAAGGGATATTTATTTCCTAGAAAATCCCTCTTGAGTATAAGAGATTCTGAAAAATATTAATTGGAGTCATTTTATTGGGTTCTCTGAAAGCTACGCATTTCAATTATAAGCTTTGTTGGGTTGACCCTCTGCTGTGAAAGATGAAAATATTTGCACTAATATTTCTGGATGGGGAGTTAGGCATATTGTTAGTTTTCCATTGTCTGGGTTTAAATATCCC